GGGGTCGGGCCGGGGTGTGAAACTCGGCGTCACGAGTCCCGATGGCGTGCCCGCCGCGCGCCGCGCGGGCCAGCGCAGCTCGTGACACGGGAGCACCGATTCACGGGAGAGACACGTGCTGCTATACGAACTTCAGGCGCTGCGAACTTGCCGCAGATTGTCGTGATCCATCAAGATAAATGGATGGCACAATGGGTGTTTAGTTGCAACTTGCATATACCTTCAGCGCTTTTCTTCTTAGAAGCAAGCTCATTTCCTTCTTATGATAAATTGCATGGTTTTGCTGCCAATTTTTGGCTGGGAGCCTGACATCATCCTATACAATGCTTTATTCACTTACATAGATGACGCAAACATCATTATAAAGCCACCTGGACGTTATTCCATGTCTCGGGACCCTCTTTCGAGATAATCATTAATCTTTCTTCACACGCAAGTTCTGATGAACCGTGGATGAAGTTGCTATGCCTACTAGAACTCTACTTTAACTCTTATAATCTCACGATTTATTATGAAATCTCATTTTTTATCATTTGATCATTTAAAACTACTGCGGTAGGTATCTTATCTTCTCAGCTGTCCATATTATTCTATCATGCCGTTTTACCATCTCGTATGTGAGAAGAGAAAAGGAATTATGCATCTGCATAAGGCACGTAATTGTTCTATCAAATAAATGTAATTTAGGACATTTCTTCGCATGGTTGTTAAGTCGTCTTTCCAACCCCGTGGGAGCCCCGGGCGTGCCCCGCTATTCTTATTCCTCCGATGTCTTATTGACAAGTGGCGCAGCCGTTTTCTTGTAGCATCCATCCAGCCTGTCAGAGTCACAGCGTTCAGTCAAACGAATGGCACGCCCGGCCTGTATGTCAGCTCCTATTTTGCTTCCTTGTTGGAAATTCCAAGTCCGCTCCATCAAACAGACAGTCACAAATAAAGTCGTCGTAGCCCGAGACGTGACTCGGACAGCAGTGGCCGACTCTGGACGCTCCGTGAGGCGAGGGGGGCTGAATGGTTGAGACATGAAGGGTTTAATGTCACCGCAGTAATCGGGACATTCTAGACATGGACATGCACATGTGCAGGAACAAACTGATTCTTATTGCACCAAAAGCAAAACCTTATAGGTACATATGCGCCCTTCTCATCCTCGACGTAGATAATCAGAGACTGAGGTGTGGGGGATTTTCCGGCGTTATTTTGCCACTGCATGAGGTCGCTAACACGGCTGAGCGGCGCGGTTTAATTTGCCGGTGCCGTGCGGTGTCGTCTCGAATTACCTCTGGGCGGCCGGGCCTCCCGCACGTGACCTGTGTGTGACGGTGGGCGGCGGACGGGGCCGCTCAGTCGCCGTGTCCAGTTCCATGTTGTTAGAACTGGCCGAGCCGCCGACTACACGATACGGTACGGCTTCGTGCCCGAAGTGCCGACGGTCGGCCGGCCAAATCCAGAAACGTGATCAAGAACCCTAAAATATAGGTAACATGTTTGATATAAATGCGAATGTTATATGGCATCTAAACGATTAGGCGATACTTTTACAGTGAAGTCCCACTTCCCAGTGCTCCTAACCATTACATTTCAATCGAATCTTCTTCTCGTGTTGTCCCCGATGTAGGTAGGCGACGACATCTTTGATTGCAACCAGTGGCCACTACTTCGCTCATTTACATACTTGGTCTTACTAAATGGGTTTAATTGGCAAATATGCACTATTATCTAACCTAATGAGGAAAGCTAACTGACGCCAATCGAACATTGAGCGCCGACCACTGGTCATACGTTTACAAGTTTTACAACTGTCGGAGGCAAATCGTTAACTGTGTGTCAACAAATGCGGATTTTACCTGTTTCACTCCTCGATCTTTCAGAGGACTCAATCGTAAACATCGGCCACGATTCAGCCGACGCTGAGCTTGAGAATGTCATACACTTATTTTTAGTCATGAAACGTTTGTGATAAACCTTCATCTGGATCGATATGTCGATTGCTGTTTATTAACTGAATGTTCAATCCGCCTATCGTATTTCAGAAATGATTTGGTGAATCGTAAATAAATTGCTCACGCCAAATTTGGTTTGCTTTCCGAATGTCAGGACTGATCGGATAGCATTTGCGGTCTGTTTGAATAACGGCGCCAGATTCCCGACCTCCATCAGTGACCCTACCTATTGGTCAATATCAGTCCGACCAGTAGGTATACCGTTAGGCGTTACTGATAGGTATCCAACAGCAAAATAGCAGTGAACGTCTTTACCCTGAGCACTTCTTCTGCACGGCCTGATGCGATTATTTATTTCTTTTAAAAAATCGCTCCAAAAATCTTATTTATAGCGCTATGTTTTGCAAGGCTGTCGCCTGTCTCAGTAGCCAAAGGCGATATAAATGCTCCTGCGTGTCTCTAAAATTAGCGTTTGAATGATGACAATGTCAGATAGCTAGAGCAGGATGATTAATAACCAGCGATCGGCTGTCTGCAAGATGGGATGAATGGTGCGTCTGTGGCTCTGCTTCCATTGCTGCCAACACAAATCCCGCCATCTTATTTATGTACATTGCTAGTCATTATATTGGGAATAAATCCCGGGAGGGTTGGATTGTTACCATCCGCAGAGCGATGCCAAAACCTCGGATGTCCGAATATCATCCCCGTAACATTAGGAGTTAGGACCAGTTTTGTTTTCCTTTTAACACTTTTAAATATGCCTTTATATCGCCTTCTGTTTACTAGACACCGTCTTCATGACAATTTTGCTGTCATACCTCCTGCTCCTCTCAGAAACCTTGCATTATGTATGTCTCTTAGTTGATCGCCAACAGTAGCTATCTGTCTTAATTGGGGCTCAGAACAGAATTCTGATTGATCTTGTGGCTGGGATGTCCCATTTTGTCTAGCTAAATAAATTCTTTCCGATATTTTTTCCATTCATATTGGATAACAAGATAACATTTCCCACGGGCAATAATTATTTCGTAAGCAGACAATGGTTGACAGAAGCCGTTTATTATACGTAAGTAACCTACAGTAAGCAGCAGCCGGCCCGACGTATAGAAAATAGTCATTAGATTCATACCTATATCCATCTAACGGTCATAGGACAAAAAAGAGTCACATTCGTAAGGTACTCGGTACTTAGTTTTAACGGTGACCTGTACAGATTTCTGTCAAATGAAGCAGACGTGATGCCTGTAATCAAATGTCATCAAAGATAACAGTCACGTCGTCAAATGTCATCCGACCTCCACAGTCAGACTGTCACAGAGATAAATGGCACAAAACCAACCTCCTGTAAATTATCGTTCTCATTCACTTTAATTGCCTGCACTGCCTCCTGAGCTGCAGAGCCGGCTCCCCTAACCTGTATAGGGCATAGTGCGTATAGTGCATGGGAAACTTGATCTGTATTGCATGGAGACGAATGATATAATTGTTTTGTCTCCAGCCGTCACTGGACCCAGTCCCTCCTCTCCCTGCCCCGGTCCGCCGCTCCGGCACGGCGCGGTGGCTACAAGGACGCTGTCACTCACATACTCTCACCGACTGGTATAAAACTCCCGACATCAATCGCTCATCGGGTGACTCATAACTCAAACGCTGGACATCACTCGCTTCCTCGGCGTATGGGTGGCACTCACAGGGTCGAGGTTAGCCGATCTTTCAGCCAGCTTATCGTCCGTCGTCCCGGCCCTTCGTTCATTCATTCAGCATTTATTGAACCAGTCCACAACGACCGGGAACACTTTGGATGCAACCTCCTTTGATCTCAAAGACGGTGTTTGATGTGTGAAATAGGGGACTTTAATCTGGAGCTATCACTTATGAATCACAAGCAGCTAGGGCGCGTTTGAACGGCAGGGAAGTCGTCCGAAAATCTTTCACTATTAGCATTATCCATGTCTAATCTAATACGGGATACCTAGGACCCAGCCATTCAACTTTCAAGGTTTATGCTTCCGAGCTGAAAGGAGAAAGTACCTAACGCCAGCACATTTCTGATTCACTATACGTTCAATGTTCAGTGTGCAGTGTGCACTGTGCAAAATTGCACATTTCAAACATAGAGGCATACCTAAGCAAAAAAGCAATATCGTGTTCATTACGCTTATGTTGATGCGGCCGATAATGTAACACTCTGCTTGCAGCATAATACTAGGCATAACATATCCGCCACAACGCCGTATACCGTTTTGACAGTGTTTGCTGCTGAACTTGACTGCAGGGATCCGTCCCCGTTGATGATAATTGTGAATTGATCAGTAGGTACCATTTGAGCAGTATGAATCGCAAGGGGCCCCGGGCGCGAGGCGGAACCAAGTAAACGACTCATAAGCATAACGCATATAAACGTTTGCACTACGCGTAACTGCAACACACCTTTTAGGTACGGCAGTGTGTGGCTATTAGCAGTAGCGGCGAAACACCTTCAACTAAGGGGGGGGGGGGGCACCGCCGACTTTTGGTCCCATTCTTTCCATGCAACGCCCATACATGGGACTAATGTTAAAATGCCCAAATCAAAGGGGGGCACGGCGCCCCGGTGCCCTCCCCGTTCCGCCGCCTTAGCCTATGGCTATTAGCCGTTTTCACGACGGCCATCGGTACACATTTGGGTCAGATTAGGTGCAGGTTGGCCGATTGGGTGTAGATTCGGTCAAATTAGGTTTACTGTGCTTCTTAAAAGTTGTTAGTTTGGGCTGCACAGATGGCCTAAACCTCATATTTCAAATTACCTATCAGACATTACTTTCGATTAGCACTGAAATAAATTCATGATATGAAGATATTTGTTGTAAAATATTAAGAGATTTGGGGCAGATTTGGCCAAGGTGCAATTGTCACTTGCCAGATAGCCCGTCGTAAAAAAACGGCTAGATCCATGCCAGCTATTATCCCGCACACCCCGCAGGCTGAGGAGCAAAAGCAGTGAAGGATTTTTTCCTTATGAAGGATAACTTCAAAGACAAATACATATCCTGAGCTGCTGTGACGAATGTCGGCGCAGGTATTCCTTTGATGTGCCGGCCGGTGACATTTGCTTATGGCTCGGATATTGATATTTGCGTGCTGTGCGGATTATTTTAATGCTGATAAATTTACGAATGCTCTCAAAGTTGAAGTGAAACGTGCGTGAATCTGAATATTTCACTGATATTATGTCCGCCTCACCTGCTTCGAATCCGAAATCTCCGGATATTTCGGAGAAAAACAAGAAGTACGATCGGCAATTGAGGTATGAAATATTTTTTTTTTGTGTTTTCAGTGCTTATGAAAAATAAGGTTCAATATTTCATATTATTGTTCTAATTGCTGCTTTCAGATAACGCATCAATGATCAAGTATACACTAGCTGATTTTGGCAACCATATTTATCTTTGTGGGCTCCTAGGTACCCATTTTGATTTACTGATATTAACAATTTCAACAATTACCACATTCTCAGGCTATGGGGAGACCATGGCCAGGCAGCTCTGGAATCTGCATCCGTCTGCCTCATCAATGCCACAGCCACAGGCACAGAGATGCTGAAGTCACTAGTTCTGGCTGGTCTGGGGTCATTCACTATTGTGGATGGCAAGATTGCAACTGCGGAAGACATCGGCAACAAGTGAGACATGACCTGTGTGAGATTTTCATCACCTTTAAGTTAAGCTGAATATATGCAATTTTCAGATGGCATGCTTGTAAAAATAAAGTACGCACAGGTAGTGTGAAAATAACTTTTTATGATGGCAGTCGGGGGAGGTTTGGTCAATCGTTGTCATTTTTAGCACGTGCTATTTTTGTCACACGTGCTAAAAATGACAACGATTCTGCTATTTTTGACAACGATGAGGCCGATTTCACTCCTCAGCGAGGAAATGAAGATTTTGGAAAGATAAACACTGATTTTGGAAAAGAAGTGCTGCCACCTGGTGCAAGACGAAGAATCCAGCTTTAATATGCCTGTTATTTGTATGGTAGTTTGTTTTGTGGCATGAAGTTGGAACTTAAAATTGAAGCATCCGAAAATGATCGATATTGATCGAAAACATGATGTTGATGAAAAAATAATATTTTAAGTTGAGAGAGGAGGCCATTTTATCCAGATGCAGTAGTTTACTTCTTGAAATTATTTTTGCTAATGACGGCTGCTAATTATCCCTCATTACATGGCAGTCGTCGTAAGCAAAAATAATTTCAAGAAGTAAACCACCGCATCTGGATAAAATGGCCTCCTCTCTCAACTTAACATATTATTTTTTTTTCATCAACATCATGATTTCGATCAATATCGATCATTTTTGGATGCTTCAATTTAAAGTTCCAACTTCGGGCCACAAAAAAGGGTATACTTCAACGTTGGACTACCATACAAACAACGGCCATATTAAAGCTGGTTTCTTCTTCTTGCACCAGGTGGCAGCACTTCTTTTCCAAAATCAGTGCTTGTATTTCCAAAATCGTGATTTCCTCGCTGAGGAGTGAAATCGGCTTCATCGTTGCTAAAAATAGCTGATAGCGTTGTCATTTTTAGCACATGGTTGCCAAAAATGGCATGTGCTAAAAATGACAACCATTGACCAAACCTCCCCCAACTGATGGGCAACAGGTAAAGAATACCAAAGGCTGGTGCAGTTAACATTCAGATGGGTGATATTCTATTTTCCATCCTTTTGTCATGTCAAATTGCTCATTATGTATCAGTGCAATAGGCCATTAAAGGGAACTTTTGTAGCATTCAGTACTCAGTAGTTAATAGGAACTACAGCAGGGTGATGCCAGGCTGCTGCCCAGCTCTAATCCTTTTACATTGAGACAGTTGATAGACCCATGGATGGCACAGTCCTCTCTTGTGTAATTTTATCATAGTTCTTATCCTATCTCTGTCTGAAATAATGGATAAGAAACACAGTTTCATTTTAATTTAACCTCAAACTCACTGATACAAATTAAGTAGATATTGAAATTAAACTGATAAAAATCACTGATAATAGTAGTTGAAATATTGCTCTAATGAACAGTAGCATCCATCATTTCTTCCCTGTGCATTCAAATCATTTCACCCATTCCCTGTGTGCTGTCTCTGCCCTGTCAGTTTTTTCCTGCCGTCGGACTGCGCGGGGGAGAGCCGCGGCCGGTCCGCCTGCCGGCTGCTGCTGGAGCTGAACCCGGACGTGCGCGGCCAGCATGTGGAGCAGCCGCTGGAGAGGCTGCTGGACACGGAGCCGGACCGGCTGCAGGCCTTCAGCGTGGTGGTGGCCACCGAGCTCACCGACAGGTCAGCAGGGGCCAGGGGGGGGGGGGAGCAGAGACCTCACAGGCAGGTCAGCAGGGGGGACCCAGAGACCTCACAGAGACCTCACCAACAGGTCAGCGGGGGTGGGGGTGGGGGACCCAGAGACCTGACAGGTCAGCAGGGGGGGGGGGAGACACAGAGACCTCACTGACAGGTTAGCAGAGGGGAGGGGGCAACAATCCTACCGACAGGCCAGGCCGGAACTGGAATCCCAACGGCCTCATCGACATTCTAACGATCGACATTCTTACGATACCTTTCCGAAGTAGCCCTTTTGCGTTGTTCAACTTTGTTATTGCATTTATGGACACTGCAGATTAAAATATGATGTGCCGAGAGAAGCTGACCGGACAGATAAAATGTTATGGTCTCTTAGAACGTTAGATAAATCATTGCTCTGTCTGGTATTGTCAACCCGTCTGGTCTCGCTCCTAACTCTCTCCTGCGTTCACAGCTGCCTGTCGCGTCTCTCAGAGGTGCTCTGGTCGCACAATGTGCCCCTGCTGGTCGCCAGAAGTTACGGCCTCGTCGGCAGCATACGTCTACAGGTGAGAGCGATCGACCCGACACCTACCGGCCGGGCGGGGAACTAACGCCCCAGCGCCTTTTCTCCGCGGCGCCTGTCGGGTCAGAATCAGAATCAGAATCAGAATGTATTTCGTAACAAATCCATTAAATCATGGTTTTTCGTCGTCACACGTCATATTATTAAAACGTATGTACAGGTAGGTAGGCGCTACAGTACCAGTACAGTGCATGCATCTACAATCACATATCGTCACGTCCAAATGATTATTGCACAACGCGCAGATCACGGCGCTCGAACACCACCGTGCTGGACGCGCAACAGATGGCGTCTCAGCCGGGACCTGAAGCCCCGAGCGTTCACGTCAAATGGCAGCCGGTTGTACTCCTGCACGCCACTGTAGCACTATTTATAGTCTGTAGCACAGACGGCGGCGACCCAGCTCCGTCCGTATTCTCGTTAGGGCGCGCTGCGAGGAGCCTCGTGTCTGGTATTGGTGCTCAGCGACTCCACCGATGCAACCAGCTACGCTCTCAGGTCTCCCCGTGGTTATCGCAGTGTGAACCAGGCACAGCCGGTGGTACATGACAAGGCTTGGCGCGTCTAGCCAGTTGTCGAAGTTGTCGAAAAAGTTGTCGAAACACATCAGATATGTGGTCATGTTTCCGCCTGCCGCTGACGACTCGAGCTCCAAAGTTCAACAGCTTTTGCACTCTATGGAGCTGCGTCGCGTTACACGTGCCATACACTGAGATGCAATATCTGACAACAGACGTGACAAGGCCTTGCACGATGGTTACAAGAGTACTTTTTGGTATGGTGTGTTTGGCGTGCATTAAACCTACGAGAATGCCCGTACACTTCGCTGTAACATGGTCGACATGTGGCTGGAAATTTAAATGGCAGTCCATGATCACTCCTAAGTTTCGTACCACCCTGGAATCTGGCACGACGGTACCCAAGAAGTTCATCGCGACCGGCGGTAAGCCCCTCAGCATTCCAGGGGTCCCCATTACCAGTGCCTGCGTTTTGGCTGCGTTCAGCTTCATGCCGTGAGAGCAAAACCACGTGTATACACACTCGAGTGCGCGTTCCATGAGAGCGGTTATGCGCGGCAGGTCGCTCTTCTGGCCGCTGACGAGCAGTTGTGTATCGTCCGCAAACTGCACCACTCGGACTCCGTCCGGCACAAACAGACTTAGCTCGTTCGTAAACACCGTGTACAGGATGCAGCTGAGTGAGCCGCCCTGAAAGACGCCGATCGAGTTCGGCTTCGCCGCAGAGCGCGGTCGACCTTCCTGGGTGCGCAATAGGTGTCAGGATTGCCCCAATCGCTGTCTGAGCCGGTGTCTGGGACATTGTCTGGGCTCCCGTTAGTCGGCGACAAATAAGGACCGTCTGCGAATGGATAACGGGACGGTCCGAATCCGTCGATAAGTCCGCGAGTTTTGCGTGCAGCTCGAGTATTTGCATGGCGCGTGGGCAGTAGCTACCTACTTCAATGTGCGACGATACGGCACACCTAGGGGTTGGTTTGTGACGTGTTGGCACTGGACTGGAAAAAGTAGCAATAAGTTCGTGCTGTAACGAGTGCGGTGCTACTGTGCTACGACGTCCAGCTGGGTTGCAGGGAACCTCATGGCACTCATTTCTCTGACAAAGGAGATTGCAACGTCGCACATGCATTGGCAGATGGTCGATGGCGACATGATCTCCCCACTAGTATGTTGTCTTGTTTACTCCAAACTCGATGCAGTAAGGGCATTCAGACGATATTCATCGCTGATTGTATCATACATGGAACGTGTTTTAGCAGTTTTCGGCGTAGTTTTCTCCTGTCCTGTGTTGCAGGCAATGGAGGCGTATATAGTCAAGACTCAAAGATATAAGCTGTTGACCTGTATCTACCATGTGATCGCCGGTGCCCCTCTCCCGTCAATGAATGCCAATGTCTTCCGCTATCCTAGTGCCGTCGAACCCGAATGATCATTATTGCTGTTAGTTGTTTAACTGTCTTGTGATAAACATTTCCCTCACGGTGATCGGTGTAACCCATTCGGTAACTCCACTGGCCTCCGTCCCACCTGTCGGTCAGGTCCGGGAGCACCTGGTGATCGAGTCCCACCCCTCCCCTGACCTGTGACCCCTGCCCTGACCTGTAACCCCCCGTCTCTCAGGTCCGAGAGCACCTGGTGGTCGAGTCGCACCCGGACCCGGACAGCGTGGTGGCCGACCTGCGCCTGCTGCGGCCGTTCCCGGCGCTGGCCGCCTTCTGCGACTCACAGCAGCTGGAGGCCATGGACCGGGCCGCGCACGGACACACGCCCTTCCTGGTGCTGCTCTACAAGGCGCTGCAGCGGTGGCGTGACGAGCACGACGGAGCGCCGCCCAGCGGGTACCGCGAGAAGAAACAGTTCAAGGAGACACTGCAGCAGTGTAGGTGGCACGGATGACGAGGGAAAGCTCTTTGGGTGTGGATTTGATGAGCCGTGTACATATATGTGCTTTGTGGTCGAAGGGTCGTAACATGCAATGCCGTGTCGGGGCTCACATGACGCACCACATTGATCTGATCTCTGACCCCTCACCACCGCCCTTTGACGGAACCTCTCCTTTCAAACATATGTCCTATTCTCACCTGTGAGTTTTGATTGACTCCAGACCCTTTGTCCTCTGACGATCCCTAGTCTGACATATTACCTTGACCCTGTCTCCGACCCCTAGCTCTTCCCCTCCCCCTGTGCCCCTAAGTCCGTCTGAGGACGTCTGACGGCGTCCCGGAGCTAGATTCCCCTGACCTGTGACCTCTGACCTGTGACTTCTGACCCCCGCTGTCCCACAGTCCGTCTGAGGACCGCTGACGGCGTCCCGGAGTTGGAGTCCCCTGACCTGTGACCCCTGACCTGTGACCCCTGACCTGTGACCCCTGACCTGTGACCTCTGACCTGTGACCCCTGACCTGTGACCCCTGACCTGTGATCTCTGACCTGTGACCCCTGACCTGTGACTTCTGACCTCTGACCCCCGCCCCCGCTGCCCTTCAGTCCGTCTGAGGACCGCTGACGGCGTGCCGGAGCTAGAGTCCCCTGACCTGTGACCCCTGACCTGTGACCCCTGACCTGTGACCCCTGACCTGTGACCCCTGACCCCCCGCTGCCCTTCAGTCCGTCTGAGGACCGCTGACGGCGTGCCGGAGCTGGAGGAGAACTTTGACGAGGCAGAGCGGGCCGTCAACACGCTGCTGACGCCGCCCTCGGTGCCGGAGGCGGTGCGGACCCTCTTCGCCAGCCAGCAGTGTAACAGCCTCACCGCCAAGGTACCGACTACCGACGGTGGAGAAACTACGGCGGGCTGTAGGACATTGGAAGACGTGTTGGTGGTACCTGTTAACTTAACGGTGCTGGAAAACGTGGAGCCACAACACTTTTCTGAATATTCACTGAACCCCCTTCTCTTTCTTCCTCTTCCCAGAGTAACGACTTCTGGGTGTTGTCTTCCTCTGTCTATAGGCTGACTCGCTCCCTCCCCTCTCCCCCCTCAGAGTGACGACTTCTGGGTGTTGTCTCCCTCTGTCTATAGGCTGACTCCCTCCCTCCCCTCTCCATCTCTCAGAGTGACGACTTCTGGGTGCTGGTGAAGGCGCTGCACGAGTATGTGGAGAACGAGGGCGGGGGCCTGCTGCCGGTGCGCGGCCCCATTCCGGACATGTTCTCCGACTCGGACCGCTACATTCAGCTGCAGAACATGTGAGTTACGGCGTGAGAGAGGTAGTGAGGCGTGGGTGAGAACGGGTGGGAATGTGAGAAGGGACATGCCGAAGGCCTGGCTTGTATTGCTCGCGACCTTTGGAGGGATTCTGGTGGTCGGCTTGCGGTTTGGACTATGTCGCGACAATAATCTGATAGGTGTTCGGTGACGAGTGTTAAACTGTGGCGTGATGTGGTTTGTAGTTTGTACTTTGGTCTAATGGCGCAAGGTCGAAGTCTCCCGGCTCGATCTGTGGTATCTTTGGCAACACGATAGCGCGACGGTATCACTCACGGATTTATTGCAATCTTCGGAGCCAGACATCGTTTATCAAAGTATACGGGCTTTACCTCCCTCATTGTGACCTATAACTGATGTTAGTTGTCTTGTGCACATATTGCCGATGGAATATAGTCTGACTGCTCGCCTGCCCAGACCCCTCTCTTAGTCACGGGGGGGGGGGGAGAGACCCCTGTCTCCCCCAGGGATGTTAATCCGCGCATTTACTGCACTTAATTAAGCAAAAAGTAATTTGTGTCAAGAGAGGCGTGTTTATGCTCGTTACTATAGGTTGTGTACTGTGTAGCCGTGAAGTCGCGCGGGCCAATGGTGACCCAGACAGGGACCCCCAGTTACCGTGAGGAAGCGCGGCGTCGACCCTCTGGCCCATATGACCCCCTCCTCACCCCCTCCCCCAGTTACCGCGAGGAGTCGCGGCGCGGCGCCGAATACTCTGACCCCTCTCTGACCCCTCTGTGACCACTGTGACCCCTCTGACCCGCCAGTTACCGGGAGGAGTCGCGGCGCGGCGCCGAGCAGGTGCAGCGGCGCGTCCATCTGCTGCTGGAGAGCCTCGGCCGGCCGGCGGACGTCATCAGCGAGGAGCAGGTGCGCCAGTTCTGCCGCAACACGCACGCGCTGCGCGTGTTCGAGGGCACCTCTGTACAGCAGGAGCTGCGCCACCTGCGGCTGCCCGCCAACGAAATGGGTACGTGGACGGGATCATATGGTGGGGGTGAGAGGGTGGGGTCGTGACTTAACCCTCGCCGGCCGAGGGGGGGGGCGGGTGCCGCCCCCCATAGGGTTTTTTCGCGATAGCTCCGAACACGCTGGCGATAGAGAGCTGAAACTTGGCATACCTGACCTTTGATCCAAGCCGCATCTTTTGACACCAACCGCATTTTTGGGTCAGGTCAGGTCACTGACCTATGACGTCATAAGTGAACCTCTGCACGGTCTTCAGATGTCGCAACTTCGCAACGCCCTCACTGCCAGAGGAGATGTCACAGGGAAATGAAACTTGCAGGATCTAGTATCCATTATGAGTGCCACAACTTGTATATCTCGGATTTTTCCTAAAGGTCATATGAGGTCAGGTCATTTTCGTGACCTCACCATTATAAGTCAATGGGGAAAAATTCAAACTGCTATTCTGGCGCCGGGAACGATCTCCAACTATCTCAAGCACACAGAATCGTGATTTGATGCACTCCTTGCAAGGTTAGATGCGTCACTTTTGCAATGTTGACCTTGCGTGACGTCATTTATGACGTCATCAAGGTCAAATTAGTTTTTCGTCAATAACTCTTGATCAAATTGAGCTAGCGAGTCGGGGAAAGCACCAATGGACTCAGGAAGGCCTGCCGAATCGAATGATATGCGACATGACCTCTTTCGACCAACTTCGTGACCTGGGGGTGCTGACCTGACCTTGACCTGAGGTCAACACCCCAAGTTGACCTGACCCGGACAAAAAGTATATCATTCGACGCGCCTGAGCGAGGCGAACACGATGCTGCCAAAATCGGCGCTCTGCGGCCGTTTTTTGCGAAGTTATTCACCAAAAACTGAACCGTACCTTGGGGCACTTGACCTGACCTCAGAGGTCACCGGTTGACCTAGGACCTTAAAATCGGGTACCAATCTCTGCGTCTCGTAACGGCGCACACGCTCGTTTTTTCCGCGACGCGCTAGCTCCACCAGGGGCGAAACGGCGAGGGGGGGGGGTCGTACCCGCCCCCCCCCCCTCGGCCGGCGCGTATGTAGAAAACCAATACGTCCGGCGAGGGTTAATAGTAATGTGTCCTCCTGAACGGACTGTCTTCACAAAACAACTTTAGGATGTCCAACTGCGTTTACTCAAGGGATAATGAATGACCTATTCCCATATCACCCCTGTATGCCATTATGCTATAACTACATTACCTTCATGACTTCTGTATGACCGATATGACCATTGACCAATATGGCCCTTTACACTCTAAGCAAATTTGATAATGCTGGTTCTAGAAACAGATATATTAATGTGTGTAAGCATTATATGGGGCGTGCGCTGAGTGTGCAGCTCAGTTGCCACGGTTGACAGTGATGTAAATGTATGATTCAGATAATTTTTTAAAAATTGCCTGCGATTTCAGCCCAAACCAAAGCTGTTTGTAGCAGTCGTGGCCGAGTGGTTAAGGCGTCAGACTCGAAATCTGATGGGGTCTCCCCGCACAGGTTCGAATCCTGTCGGCTGCGTAGTTCCTTTGCTGCTGCTGCTGACCTGTCCGTCAGGTCCATCCCCCCCCCCCGTTCCCTGACCGTCCCCCACGGTCTGGGCCCCCAGCGGCGCACCTGCAGAACCCGGAGAGCGAGATGGTCATCTACGCGATGCTGCGCGCCGCGGAGCGGTTCCGATCCGAGTACAGCACGGCGCCCGGCGCCGAGGACGACCAGGTCGAGACGGACGTCATCAAACTCAAGGTACGCGGCGCAGGCGGCGGGCAGGGAGGGGAGGGCACGGGAAGACCGACACTGACATGGGGAGGATGGATGTCAATCCCATCACTTACTGTAATTAGGCAAAAAGCAATTTGCGTCACGAGCGGTGTATTTATACAAATTACAGTACGATGTACAGGTGTTAGGTCGCGCGGCTCAACCAACATGGTGAACCATTTTCGGGGCAAGGTCGAAAAGTGTTCGCAGCCGACAGGATTCGAACCTGTGCGGGGAGACCCCATCAGATTTCGAGTCTGACGCCTTAACCACTCGGCCACGATTGCTTGTGTCAAAGTTGCTCTGAATGTGCAGTCAAATTATAGTACAGTTAACAGTACGCCACGCTCACGAGTGCTTATTCATCGAATGCTCACATGGCGCACGCAAGTAAGTAGAGTGTAGAATGCAGTATGCACCCTAGTGACATTGTCCTTCCAAAAGGAACTTGCGGAACCACCCATTCCCAGTCTGCCCACGGTAGGACGAAAATAGCCGCCTCTCCGTCCCGATCCGTACCGCCGCACACCTCTGTGCAGTGTTGGCCGCTGCGCCGGGATGACAGCCGTCCCCCCCCCCCTCCCCGTGTCACCTGCAGGCGTGTCTGAGTCGCCTGCTGTCCGACTGGGGCTGCCAGAACACCATCAAAGACGACTACGTCCAGGAGTTCTGTCGGTACGGCGGCTCGGAGCTACACACCGTGGCTGCGCTGATCGGTACGGAACGGGGGGGGGGGGGGGCAGGGGAGGATGAGACGGGCGCTGGAGAGGGATTGAACTCTGAAAAGAGCGTCAGTGTTTGGAAATGGTTTCCATCCTTTTCACCGTTCCTAATTCACTTTGAATGAATTTGCGTCTGTATCAATATCTCGATACCCGTGACTATATAGTCACGGGTATAAGCATACTTAACCATGATATTCCTGTCTTGTAAGGTCCCCTGACCACACCCATTGACTGCTAACCCTGACCTCAGTAGCTGACCGTGACTTTTCCATAGTCCGCCGTCCGGCGGTCGCGGTGTTTACTCCCCGGGCTGCGGCGGCCCGCTCGTCTCCGTCCGCTGGCTGGTGTTCTGGCTCGACACAGGTGTTTGTTCAGTGTAAACAGCCGGCGCCGTCCGGAGATACCGCCGTCTCACCTGGACTGGGTGGAGGGAGGGATGGCCTGTGGGGGCTAGAGAAGACTGTTCTGTCAGACTGTGACGGGCCTGCGCTGTGAGACTGTGACGGGCCACGGCGTTGAGAGCACGACGCTGTGTCCTGTCAACCATTTCATCACGTTACTGTCGTCGTCGTCGTCATTCCCCGTGCACAGACTGTGACCTCTATGTGACCTGTGCCTCCCGACTGTGACCTCTCACTGACCTGTGACCTCGCGGTGACCTGTACCTCCCAACTGTGACCTCCCGGTGACCCGTGCCGCTGACTGTGACCTCCCGGTAATCTGCACGGCTGCACCGCCTATGACCTCTCACTAACCTGTGCCGCCCGACTGTGACCTCTCTGTGACCTGTGCCGCCAGGGGGCTGCGCCGCCCACGAGGTCATCAAGCTGGTGACGGGGCAGTACGCGCCCATCGACAACACGTTCATCTACAACGGCATCAGCTCGTCCAGCGCCGTGTTCCGGCTGTGATAGGACTGTGCGATCTCCGCTCCGCCGCCGTCGCCGGTGCCGGCGGCGGGGCCCGCTATAGGACGCTTTGTGCATCAACTGTGCTATGAACTGTTAGGTGAACTGCGAGAACTTAATATGAACTGCGAACCAAGTGTCAAGGAAGTGTCGGGAAGAAATGCGGTAGAAGTGTTGAAAACCGTAGCTAAGACCATTATTACCCTGCTGAATTCCGTTTCTGAATGTGTTTCCGTGCCCTCAGTGTTCCGTGCTTTGTGCCGAAGTGTACCTCTGTGTTGCCTCAGCCGTGCCGTGTTTGGAGAACTCTCTAATATCTCCCACAATGTGTGAGATGGTGTTACCACTCAGAAGGAGCGCACCCGTCGAGGACCAGTGGGTCCCGTGGGAGGTCTGGGAGGGACGGCGAACCGTCTCCCAGCCGCCGGTCGTGCCGCGTTCCCCGCGTAACCGGCGTGATCAGTGTTCCGTGAAATATCTGCTGACAATAGAAGTCACGTATGAATCGTAGAGAGGCACGGAAATGTGATGGCGATTGGCGCGACAACTGAGTGATGGTTAATGTATCAAAACCAAATGTAACATCTCCGAGGATTCGGTATATTTATGACTGATTACCGTCTACCTATTCGACTGACTTTGACTTGACCTTTGACTTGTCCGGCGGTTTTTCAGCGCCCAGCCCCCGGGAAAACGTTCCCGCCGGACGTAGACGGCTAATGGACTGAGCTGGAGCGGCAGACGGACGTCAGACCACGTCTGTAAATAGGTAGAGCGCGCGGCACAGCGATCACTCGAGCGTGTATTGATCTGATCCTGGGAGGCAGCATACAGCTATACAAATGGCAAATTAAACCGTATATACAGCGGGGCGGGGCGGGGCTCGGGTCAGCCGGTTGGACCGTGACCCAGACTAGCGTGGCGCGCGGCGCTCCGAGGCGCGGCAGCGCGGCCCCTCCGCTCGGGCGGCCCGCTGGACCTCCGCCGGTCAGAGCCTCCTCAGAACACAGCGCCGGCACCGGGGATCGAACTGCGGGCGACCGCACCGCGGGACGGCGCGCCGGCGGTCGCCGCTCAGGGGGCACTTCCACTCGGGGACACACCCGGTCCGCCGCGGCGACGGGAGCGGCGCGGCACACACACACCCAGCCGCCGCCGACACACCGACAACTCTCCAGCGGTCCGCTGCAGTTTCACCCGTCCTCAAATGTCTCTCTTCTCGACTCAAACCGTTCTTCCTCTCCGTCTCCTCACCTCAAACCGTCGCTCCTCTCGTCTCCTCCCGTCTCGGCGCGTCCCGTCCCGTGTCAGCGATAGGCCCGCTCCGGCGGCCGGCCCTAGATGACCAGCTTCCCGAGGATGACACCCACGACCAGCGCTACCAGCGCCAGCACGTAGTACATCATGGGCTCGGCGGGCGCGGCGGTCGGCGGCAGAGAGGCCGCCGCCGAGGTCACCGGCCGGTCGCCGGCCGCCGCCTGGCGCCGCAGCCGCAGACCCTCCTCCTGAGTACGGGTGCAGAGGGGAGAGGTCAACTGAGGGGTAGGGGTGGTACGGGGAGGGGTGGTACGGAGGGAGGAGGGACGGACGGCGGGGTCGGCAGTGAACAAAAGGGGAGGAAAGGCATGGTGGTCAGGGGGGGGGGGATAAGCTGGAGGAGTAGTCGTACGAAGGATAGTCGTGCTAAAGACGGGTTCTCCACTGACAAGGCGGGCGAATGGCGATCTTTCCGGAGGATGATTCTACAGCGACACCAAACATGAAAGGTCGAAGCACCGAAAGAACACTGTTTTGGAGGCGGGACTCGGTGGACGGTACAAAACCACTTAACGAACGGACGGTGAAAAACTGTTGGGACTGGGAGGACGAGTCAAACGTCAGGACATCTGAACGGTCAAGCGAACCAAGCACAATAAATAACTGAGTGCCAGGAAGAGTGGAAAGAGTAGGTAGAAACGAATTGAATATAAAGCAGGACGAAATGAGATGTCGCTAAGCGGCGCTACATATTCAGCGCACGCTGGAGGAGTGAAAGGCGGCTATGGCCCGGCTCAGCGGCTGAGAAGCCCTACGAGAGCTCGGCGAGGGCTGGTCAGAGACAGTCGGCTTCCTGCGGCCGGGGTTTGATAGGAGACGGACCAGTCTGGTCTGTGCGGGTCGCTGGGTCCGGGTGGGAGTGGCGCCCAAAGCTCTGATAGTACCGGGGCTGACGGGAAGGGGTAGAGTACGCTGTTGCCGGGGGGGGGGGGGGGGGGATAAGGCTCTGGCGCACACACGGCCGTTGTGCGCCTCCAACATTCACTACTGTGTACCGGTGATCGGAGGGACGCATGGGAACTACTGATTAATTCAGTAGTTCCCACTTGCCACAAGTTCACTTAGCAAAGGGAACCTATCCTTCAATGGAACGGCTGACAGGAATCATCGCAGGCCTTGCATGCGTGATAGCTAAGACGTTACAATGCAATGAGTACATGAGTTGGCGCTACCCGCATCAAACACAGCAGCGAGTTAGTGCCACGCAATATCACGTTGGAGTCACAGCGAAGCAGGCACACATGATGTGCGGCTTCCTCCTGTTGATGTCTGCGTTACGGGACGGAGTCACGACTCGGCGTGGTTTCATTAGCGGAAAAGCCGCTACCTCCCCTCATTAATTAAGGATTCCACGTTCATTACCGCAAACCCAGTCCACGCCGCATCGCACGCACGGCGAGCCACAGCGCACACATGGAAAAAGGTGGGTTCATGCGTGGCGCTAGGGCTTGTTCTCAGGCATGGTATAATATGTGTGCCGTAAGGGGCGGTTCACACGGACGCACCTTGAGCTGGAGATTCTCGGCCATGACGTTGCTGATCTCGTCCCTCAGGTGTTTGACCTCATCCGTGGCAGTCTTGATGTCTTTGGGCTCCGGGTGCTGAAACCGATCCATGTGTCAGTCGGTTAGATGGTGGTGACAGCTCCCTGAACAATTAGCATGAAGACGTGAATAGAGAGGCCTTCGAGGGGTTGTAGTAGTTTCACTGGCGAACTTATAGTGATAGACAGCAACCGAAAACAACCAGGTACTTGGCAACGGCAACCACAATAACTGCAGACTTCAGAGTTCTGGGAAGCAATAGCATGTCCATACCCTCACGATAACATGAACCAACAGCAAAATGCCCGTTCAGCTCCCCCCTCCCACACAACAATCACAGCGTACATTGGCTATACCTGAACCGTCTCAAAGTTCAGGACACCACCAGCAGTGGAGACCTGACGAGTCCGTGGGCGGTGGACATACCCAGCGGCCAATCTGTTGGGTACGACCACTACCCTTTCTGACGGCGGGGCGGGGGCGGGGAGGCCACTAACGATAACGGCGGGGGCAGGGGCGGGGTACTGACCCTACCGGAGGGGGCGGGGAGCGGCTATTGACCCTGACGGCGGGGGCGGGGAACTGACCCAGACGGCGGAGGCGGGGGCGGGGCACTGACCCTGACGGCGGGGGCAGGGCACTGACCCTGACGGCGGGGGCGGGGGCGGGGTACTGACCCTGACGGCGGGGGCGGGCGCGGGCGCCTCCTCCGCCACGTCCGTCGGCAGCTCGAACACACAGCGCATCTTGCTGGAGGTCATCACCTGCTCCGGGCTGGCGTTCTTCCACTGGAACAGGGATTCGGGAGCGGTCAGAACAAACACGGCAACGCCATCGAGACACAACACGATTTACCGCCTTCTGGAGCAGTGGAACACCTGGCAACACAACTCATAAACAGGGATTCATAGCCTACATCAGATTGGCGCTCCATCATAGTAACAGAAGGGCGAGACGGTTGGCACCATCAATTCAAATTCACCGTGAACAAGGCACCATCGTGCCACCCGCATCCTCATAAACAACGAACGAACGGGCATACGAACGGACGGGCCCAATCACCGACACACAGGATGGCGAGAGGACTCTGATCATCGGGCGCAATCAGCGCCCCGGCGCGGCGAATGTCACAGCTCGGGTCAGATCGAGAGCCAAATGTCAGGGAATAGCAGATGGGCGGCGGACCAGCTCTCTCCCAGGGCTGAGTGGGCAGACCAGCACTCGGCAGTATTTACTGAGTTGGTCGGCAGGCACAGATTGTATTCGGTCAATTTATCATATATCAAACGGAAATTAATCCGTTACTCGCCAATGCAAACTCAAATCACCACGTACAAAATGTGAAAATGTATTTTTCATAGCTCGCACAGGCCCATGTATTGTTTTCAATATTGATAAATCTATTCATCGCCCAAATACATTGTCCAGTGGCCGCAAAACATCAAACCTTACAAAACGTTGTCGCCTGCAAATAGTTCGCGTTCCCAGAAGCGCGTGTCGGTGCCCGGGGCCCCTCTGCCCCCACCCCGGTGTTTACCGGTCGCGCCATGACAGCAGCTGGCAGCCGGTCCGGTCCAGACGGGGCTATTCCCGGAGCCCATCGGCCCAGCAAACGACAGCCACTTAAAGCCCCGCGCGCCCCGGTCCTAATGAAGACGCATAAATCGGACCGGGTCGACTCAGCTGGGCCGGCCGGCGGTGACGTCACTCCGCGCCCGTGACGTCAGAGTGACGTGGTGTCGTGACGTTATATGACGGCGGGGCACGGCAAAGAGTTGATGCTGGTCGGGAATCGTAGACAAGGCTCTGCCGGATATATCTCCAGCGTTAAACTTGGCACGGCTGGTCGCAAACCGTGAGCCCAGCAGGAATACTTTTGTCGACAGCCCACGAGACGAGACATTGTTTTGGACCGACTCCCGCGATCAGCCACGTTCAATTTGTGCAAACAGCATTCTCCCTGCTCGCTAACTTTCCGCCGTGGAATATTCCGGCGTGACTCCTGGACATTAAGATTGGCGAACACACAGTCAAGAGAGTGACGGACGACCATGCCGTCACACGTATAGACCATCAGTCATACCGTCACAAGAATGTGAGTCGGCCAAGACACCGTCACGATAACCCCATCTGGTCATGGCTTTAGCTGGCCACCCGTGACCGCTCTAGGGGTTACCGTCTGTCTGACTCGGACAACGGGTCGATTATCGCCCCGATTACCACCTGTGACGGTGGACCCGCCCGGCGACTGAAGGTCAGGTCACTATCATTTTCAGTGATCACGAAAGGCGATATCGGTCTGGAGAGGCTGGCGATGCATCCGATATTGTACAAACAGAACGACAGATACGATATCTCGTGCAAGGCCGGTTCATAGATCAAATTACAGCCAATATCTCGACTAGCATTCATTATTTGCGTCGAATTACGATCACATTTCAGCGACTTATGACAAGTAGACGGCGAAAGCGAAAGTGACCCGAAGACAAACAAACATAGGAAAAACAGAGCGACCATAATGGTCAATGACTTTCGCTACATGAGCAACCAACCGCAAAATTATCGCGTGCCATGATTGTTTTGTCCAGCGCCTGTGTGCATTTCTTCCCGCTCCCCTTCCACAACACACAGCCTGAGTGGACGTGCCGGGACAGCCTGATCGCGTGTCGGACGTTACACTACCCGCCCAATCTCGGCCTAATCGTCACGGCAGCGGCCGCGCGTGACCGTCCAACGGTACCTCCTCGTCCGCTCCTCCCCCACCGTAGGCGAAGAGCCGAGACCGCAATATCAACCTCTGCATCGCCAAGTTTGGAAAAGTGGAAAGACAGTGAATGTCCCAGTCACCAGACTTACTTGAGGCCCACAAGCTCGACGAAATACAGATCGAATCAGCGAATCACGATACATGAAAAACATTCCACGATATACACCAGAACATCGCCGGCAGCTGCTGCAATGGATATCCACACTATAGGAGGGTTTCAACATTTCTGACATTTCACGATCCTTCAAAAAAGAAAAACAAAAGAATAAAATACTTTGAGGCTCAGTGCAAGTTGACACATAGTACCTAAGCAAAAAAAAAAGAGCAAAGT